TGTATAACATTTTCTTTGTGACTGTATTGTGCCAATTGACCTTGGTTTATCCTGAGACTATGGTCCTGAGCACCTTATTCCCTCAAGAGGTTTGGCTGTAGTTAGGAAGTTTTCATAATGCGGTTGTGTTCTTTTTGGTCATTTGTAATGGAGTGTATTTGAACCTCTTTCTTCCTGCTTCATTTGCCCGAGAAGCTATAATATGGATCCTCTCTGGTTAGAAGATTTTTGCCCTTTATAATCCCTTTACTTCTGCTTTTAGACCTTACTGCAGTTGATTCTGCTTTCTTTGAAGAGCTGATAGATCTTTTCCCATTCATCTACTTTTAGCATTTCCATTCTTTTACTTTCGGCATTTAAATATCTTTACGCTTAAGTGGGTTTCTTATAAACAGCATAGGAAATATTTGTCTTTATTAAGCTGAAAAATGTATTGTTTTAGTCTAGGATCCAAGTTAGGATGCCTAGGAAGTTTGCTTTTGTGTGTACTGGCATCATATAGGTTTATTTATTTCACTTTACTTTCACACCCTTGAAGGGCTTGACCCCAGGCTTAGCTTCCCCACTTTACTGGTAGACAAAGGTGCAGTGTCTCCACTGAAGTGTGTTATGGGCATCTGCCTTCAGAGTCTGGTCTGTCTTTCCTGACTGCTCACAGCTCCAGTCCAGCCATTCAACTCTTATACACAGACCACACTAGTTGGGGTGATGATGAGCAGGTTGCTTTAGATATTTTCAAACCCTTTTGTGGTTAAGACCTCTTCAAGGAATGTTCCTGATGCAGCATATAGTTAGTTCTTCAGTGGCAGAGTCCCTGAGAGCAGCACCTCATCAGCCGTAAAGCCAGATGGGGAAGTATCTTAAGAACCCTGGTGGTGTGGCTCACAGTGGTTACTAGTTGGGCTGCTAACCACAAGGTCAGCAGTTCCAAACCACCAGCTGCTCTACGGGTGAAATACAGGGCTTTCTCCTCTGGTAAAGAGTTACAGTCTTGGAAACTCATAAGGACAGTTATACTTTGCCCAATAGTGTCCTTATGGGTCAGTATCGAGTGAGTCTGCATGGCAGTGAGTTTGGTTTGGGAAGGATCTTGTTTTCCTCATTTTATTTATGCACAGTGCTTATCAGCGCTCAATAGACTGTATATTTGCTTATTGTCTTTGTTGTCACTGCAAAGTGGGGTCCATGAGGGCCAGGATTTTTCCTGGTTCACTGCCTGATACTTAGTATGTGTTTAGTAAATATTTGTTGGATATCTATCTATAGAGAGTGGAAGGAGCATTGCAAAATATTGGTGCTGTTTTAAACGCTTACATTGAAATGCTCTTATATTTTCCCCTTTTGACCACTGTCACAAGTTAGGGCCCCTTGCCCTTTCCTTGGACTATTGTGGGCTGTTTCTAACTGGCTTCTCCACCTCTGCTTTGTGGGATATCCATCCTTTCTAATCCATCTCTCACACTGCTACCAGAGTTTCTTCCTGAATATAGATCTGATTACATCATTGTCCTGTCTTGGCTTTGCTATAAAATAAAGCCTAGTCTCCTTAATGTGCCCTTTTATTCTCAATATCTTTCTCCAGTTTTATGTCCAGACTGAGTATCGTCTGCATTGGTCACTTCAGAATTCATATTAGGCTCTTCTAGTACACCCACTGTGTAATTTTAGATTTACTATGCCATTATTGATGTGGTTGCTTAAACATTTCCTCCTGTTCATGCTTATTATGACCTTAGTTATCCTTAAAGCCGTCCAAAGACCTTGCCCTCTTAAACAGTATCCTGATGTTCACATTTCTTACTGGTATTTTATTTGCCACTTTGGAAGTTTTCATAATTTGCCTTGTATTCTAAAAAGCTATCTGCTTTTCTAACTAAATTTCAAGCCCCTGGAAGTGAAGAACTTCATGTTTTATTTCTCTTTGTTTCTGAACATCTCCAGCACCATGGGTTATATACATAGGTGGATCTTTGATAAGTAGCTGTCCTGCTAGACTGTTGAAGACTCGGTTCTTGTCATTCTGTAACAGTGAGCTAATTCTGCCCTCATTTATGACACTCTGAGGACAGTAACGTTCGTGTTCCTTGGGGACTATTCCTGTCCCCGCTCCCCTGACTCTGATGGCTCTGGCATCTCACTCAAACTCGTTTTTCTTATCTCCCTCGCTCAGTTATCCCCCATCCCAAACCGGTGCTGCTCAGAACTTTCCCATTACCAGAAAAGGCATCATCACGCTGTTAGTCATATTGGCTCAAAACCTTGGTGAAATTTTTATCTCCCTTTTTCTTAATCTTCTAGTTTCAACCAACTAGACCCTATTAACTTACTTTAAAGCAGCGGTTCTCAACCTGTGGTTCGCAACCCATTTGGGGGTCGAATAACCCTTTCACAGAGGTTGCTAGATTCTTAACTGTAGCAAAATTATAGTTATGAAGTAACAATGAAAATAATTTTATGGTTGGGGGGGGTCACCCCAACATGAGTACTGTATTAAAGGGTTGCAGCATTAGGAAGGTTGAGAACCACTGGTCTAGACTCATCCTACCACTCCAGCATGAGCCGTCTCATTTCTGTCAAGTCAAACTTCTTTCTGTCTCCTAAGCATACCATATTCACAGCCTTTTCCACCTCTTGTAGTGCCCTTCTACTCTACAATGCTAATTCTTGTTCATTTTTTAGAACCTGGCTGATGGAGAACCCCATAGCTTTCCTCCCCCATGAACATACAAGGGGTTACCCCCTACCCTTTGAATTTTTTTCAAAGCTATGTATTTAAATTTTGTTTCAAAACCTTATCACCTTCAAAGTACTCTCCATTACACTTAATATATTTTGTCAAATCTGCAATTCCATTCTTGGAAACATTTTTATTTTTTTAATTAATTTATTTATATTTAATCATTTTATTAGGGACTCATACAACTCTTATCACAATCCATACATACATCAATTATGTAAAGCACATTTGTACATTCATTTCCCTTGGAAACATTTTTCAAACTCACTTGTTTGGATGGCTGACAGCACCTCCCTTGTTTTGTTTTTTTACCTCTTCTACATCGTCAAATCACTGTCCTTTCAAGACCCTCTTCATTCCCAGAAATAGAAAGAAGTCACATGGAGTGAGGTCAGGTGAGTAAGGTTTGTGGGGCAAGAGAGGCATGCTGAGTTTTGCCCCAAACTGGCACACTGAGATGGCTGTGTGAACAAGTGCATTGTCATGGTGGCAAAACCAGCCATCCAACTGCCACAAATCAGGCCTTTTTTTGTCGCACACTTTTAGGCAATCCTTTCAGAACTTCTAAATATAAAGCTTGATTAACAGTCTGACCTGGTGGAACGAACTCTGATGCATTACAGGTCTACATTTTTGCCCATCTGGAACAAGGTTTGCCATCAGTCGACATTTCACCTTTTTTGAAATGAGAAAACCATTTGTACACTTGAGTTTTTCCCATAGCACCGTCCTTGTAAGCTGTGTTTAACATCACAATAGTTTCTGCAGCATTTGCCTGAGCAGGAATCAAAATTTCCTAGCTTCACACTTTTCTCTTAAATCAGCTATCACAAAAAAATTCACTGTGACCAGAGAGAACCTTCCCAGGCGATGCCACTGGGTGCACTAACTGAGAGCAGGTTGCTCTGATGCTCATCTAGTGGGAAAAATGCATACCACGAATGCTTCAACCTGCAGAGCCCCCGTCCCCTTTTTTGGGGGTGGTGGTGGTGTCCCTTCATATATTCCTTAGCAAAGATATCTCTGGTTTCACTTCCACTATTTGGGGTGGGGTTGCAGGGTATGATGATATCTTAAAGCAATCCGTTTTAACCTCTTCAACTAAAACTGGAGTCCTGTTTATAAGAACTCCTATAGAGCGCTAGGAACTAACATGACACAGAACTTCTGATTTTTTATTTCTGCTAACATAGTTAGCATCTGGAAGTTAGGGACTTTGTTAACTTTTGTCTTTCCTCATAGTGCTTAATATGGTTCTTTGTCCCTGGACAAACACCTGAAAATAGATTCACTAAATGAATAAGTAAGTCCCATAAGTTAAAAACACATAAACTTTGTCTCCAGACAGTTTACGAAGGAGATTTACTTGCCCTAAACAAATAAACAAAGTCCATTCCCGTCGTCTAGATGTCTGCAAATGAGGGTGACGTAAGAGATGGCAAATACAGTTATAGCGCACTCGTTTTCTCTGTGTAGTTCAGGAGTCCTTGTGGTTTTTAGTTTTCTACTTCTTGAAAATCTAGTTTCAGTTTCTCACTTTTGCATGTACTATAACTGCAAAGATGCATGAATTCTAATGGAGTCTGTTGACTGTTGACCACGTTTTCCTATAGTTGTTAAAAAACCTTTAGAAAGGAATATTCCAGTTGCTTCACTTAAATGAAGGTAATTATGTTATGGATTTGAAGTTTCAATATAAAATTGAAAATTTTTGTGGTGGTTTGAAATATGATATAAAACTCTCAGTGTTATATTAAAATTTCCAATACTTTGTCATGGGCAGTTAGCAGACAGTTTATAATTTATTGGACCTTTTTTTTTTTTTTTTTTGAAAATGTTGTTTTTTTCCATGTGGAATGATTAAAATTACTTAATGATTTTGTATTTATTTGTATGATATAATTTTGAAAATAAGGTCTATTTCCATCACAATGATGTTTCTATAAAGTTAGTATTAATTTCAAATATGGCAAGTGTTTTAACTGTGTAGGAGGATGCTTAAACATTTGCTTATAGTTTTGATGAAAATACAGAATGATTTCCATATTGTAAGAACTTTTACCTCCCTTTTAGAGCATGTCAAAAAATAAATAAATAAACATAGTAATTTGAGTGCTCTGTTTTTATTTATAGAAACCAGCAAATATCCTAGTAATGGGAGAAGGTCCTGAGAGGGGGAGAGTCAAAATAGGTAGGTAATCATGCCTAACATAATTTATTAAGAAACTGAAGTGACTGCAAAAATGGTTTTTCTTTTTGATTCTCTTATTTAGGTAGGTGGTTTTAAACTTACTTCCTCATAGTAGTTTTAGAAAAGAGGTTGGGAAATGTAGATAATTTATTACCTCCAGAGTTAGTCCCAAAATAAGATTCTATGATTCATCACTGGGATTTGATACCCATTTGATACCCAGTGCCATGCAATGCCTCAAGCATGTGTTACACTATTAACTGTTGCACTACAAGGTCACCCCAGGCGTATTCTCTTCAATCTTACACTTGCCTCAGCTTTTACCACATGTTCTCTTCCTGAGGACAATAGCCACCCAACAACCCCCCACCCACCCACCAATATGCCCTCATGGGCACCCCTCCTCCCTGCCCTCCAGGCCTGCCTGCAGTTGGTGGCCAGGAACCAACATCTCTTTTCTAAATGAATGTATGTGTTCACAGCTTTCTTACTGGTCTACTCTAGTTTGAAACACTGGCAAGAGACTTATCTGTATGCTAGTGGTTTTTGCAACCTTGAACATTCAAAAAGAAATCAGTATCATTTATGCCTTTAATAGTTTTGGGGGTAGGAAGTCAGTTAATAAATGCTATTTCTAATTTCTCTTAATAGAAATTATATTTATTGAATGGGTCAATGTTTTTAAAAAGAATTTAAAAATAAATTTTATTTTGCCAGCCTGCTTTCTTTGCTATTAAAGAGAGTGTCATGCTGTGGTGATATGTACTGATTTATTCTATCACACCTCAACCAAACTTGCCCTGTTCCTTAGTTTTCAGCTTCTTCATTTGATTCCCTAAGCCGAGTCCCTGAAGAAGCAGTTCTAAACGTGCAGGGAGGCGGGGTGGTAGTGGAGGTGGTGCTGGTGCTGGTGTGTGTATGCATGCCTGGACTGATCCAGGGAGGCTGCAAAAACACATGCCTACACTTTCTTCTGAATTCTAGGCTGTAGAACAAAAGCTCTTCCTTGCTAAAGGGACCCTGAGTAGTTTTTCCCCCTCACCCCCCTGAAAAGAGAGCTGTAGACCAAATAAGTTGGGAACTTATGTTCTAAACCAAATTCCCTTTCTTTACACCTCTCCTGAGTATTCTGAGACTGGGATTCAGAGTCATTAAAACATGTGTTGATGGTAACGAAGTACACCAGGTAGCTGTTTCCTTCTCTGGTCTCTTCTTTTCCTCTTTCTGCCCCTCCCACTCATACTCCTCACTTCTTCTCATAGATATGTGAGAATGAGTGGTTTTGTGTGCATGCTTCTTTTTATTCCTCTCTCATACGCTTAGAACTAGAGGCATTTCTTGACTACCTCCTTTTGTACGATGAGGTAGAGAGCTAGCAGATGGTCCTCCTCACTCCGTCTGACCCCATAAAGAAGACTGTAAAAGAAACCGCATATGCCAAGTGCCATATATGTTTCATACATTGCCTCGTTTATTTTATACAGCCACCCTCTATGGTGGCTATTATAGATAAGGTACTCCGGATTTAGAGTGGCAGTAACTTGGTTGGCCTTTCAAAGCTCGGACTTGAATTTGAAGGTCAGAGTGTCTTTCCATTGCACCTTGCTGCCAGGTAGTACTAATGCCATCTGCTGTGACCTCACTGACCTCCATGTTCCTTCAGCACCCCCATGCCTTTGGAACAGTCTCAGAGAGTGACTCTGTTTTCCCCAAGCCCTGTCTACTAGTACTTGATTTATTTTCCATATTCCCTCCCTGTGTGTACTTCGGTCCTTCAGATCACCGTGTGCTCCCCACCTCAGGTTTCTCTTCTTCACCTTTACCAAGTCACGGTCTCTTCTCAACCTAAGCACAAATCTTATATCTGTCTTGTCATCCTCAGCCTTTTCCTGTGTCTTGTTTTCCTTCTTGCTTCTTTCCTTCTGGAACACATGGTGCTCACTCGTTGGCTCCTCTTTCTCTGATGTGCTATAATCGGGCCTCTCATTCCATCCTTGGGTAGAAACTACTCTCTAAAGGGCACTGTGACCACCGTTCCACCAAAGCAAATGGCCTGTATTTAGTTGCCAGTCTCCTTTACTTTCTTGAGCAGTTTGTTCTTCTGCCCAACTTGGTTTTGAGCCTTAATGGTCTTCTCCTTCGGACTACATGACAGCACACATTCTATTTTTCTATCTACTGTTCTTGCTGTTACCTCAGCATTCTGTTAATTAGTGCCCCTCCCTCTTCTTCAACACCCTAGGTGTTCACACTTGACACATGGTCTCCTTTTACTTAGACTTCTCCAGGGAATTCATAAATCTTTATGATCTCAACATTGTATAGTCTGTGTACATGGTTCTGAGACAGGCTCTCCATTTCTCTTCTCTTGCCCTACCTGAATGAAGCCTTCATAGACCTTTTGGAGGTCTTGCTGTCGCCTTGTGCTCCATTGTCTCCAAACAAATTATCGTCATCTCCCACTCGCCTGTGTTTATACCGTCATCTCATTCATACGTAATACCTTCTCCTTTCTATTCCCAAATCTCTCTCTATCCCCTCTAGATAAATTCCTTACTTTAGCTAAGCCAAGTCACTTGCCTTGCTCTTAAGAGTTTTAGGTTTGCTATTCCAAGATTAGAGATAAAAACCAAGGTTAAAAGTAAACAATGATTAATAAGTAGACGTCTAGCAAAGAATCGATTAAATGGTTGACAGTTTTTATTTTAAGAGCACATTATCTTTTAAGAACTAATAACACTAATGCCCATTCTTGGCATTTTAACATAGTTTTTTTAGAGAAAAAAGGAAAAGCATAGTTGAGTAGAAAATATGAGAGGACTTCAAATAGTTTATGGAAAAATGAGATTAAAACATAATGTCATTTCCTCATGAACTTCTCAAAGCCACCTTACGCACTGTGCCCTTCCTGCACCTGAGCCTTCCCCTGCCTAGCAGCCTTCCTCCCTGGCCTTACAAAAATGTCTATTGCCTTTTACTTAGTATTCAAAATGATTGATCTTGCATCATCCAATTCATGTTCCACTTTCAACTTAGTTCACGTTCTCAGATGTTCAGTAAGTATTGTCCAAATTAAACCATGTCAGAGACAGAGACCCTTCTCTTAAATAATGTAGAATCTCGTAGAAACTAGTAGAAATGTTTTTTTTAAAAACTTTTCATGTATTTTGCCATCTTGCCTTGTAAATTTTCTAGTGGTAGACCTTGCCTTTTGCCTCTTTCTCTTCATCTGATAACTTAATAATTACAACCTGAAAGAGTCCTGGTGGCATAGTATAACAACAACAAAAAAGGTCAATGGTTCAAAACCACCAGTGATTCCATCAGAGAAAGCCAGCTCTGTAAAAATTTACAGAGGTGGAAGCCCAATGGTGCAGTTCTCCTCTGCCCTGAAGAGTTGCTGTGAGTCGGTAATTATCACTCATGCTAGAACAGTAATACCATTGTCCATTGAATGCAACTGCTTCACCCATCTACATGTTTGTGGAAAGATAGGTTACTTAAAGTGGTATGTCAGTAAATGTTCATATTTAATATTAGGGAAGCAACTGTTAATAATGTGTAGGTGAGTTACTTTTGGCATGCATTAGTAATTATTTTTTTAATGGTTTAATATTCATTTAAAGTTATACAACAAATAAATGTTCTGAAGAATATTTATTGCTTCTTGCTGCCATTGATTTCATTTGACTGTGAATAAGTGGGGCTTAGAGCAAACTAAGCAAGTAGAAAATAAGGACAGAAATATGGCCTTTAGATATCATTTTAAAAATGCTTTTCAGTGGACAAAACAGCATTCTGCTTGTGCTTTGTGTCAACAACAATCAGCATCTATTAAAGGTACCTGGCAGTGCTTTGAAGTAAGTGCAGCCTGGTGGAATGATCTTGACTATCCTGGTTTACTATCCAGACATTCAGTTAAGAAAGAAAAATCTGAATTACATGCCAATAAAACTGATGAGACAGGGAGAGAGAGAAAGAAAGAAGAAAAAGAGCGAGCTTTTGCACATGTATTTTGGACAACTTTATATTTTAAGGCCAGAGTTTTTCAAAGCCTTCTCAGAAAGTCTTGAAGATTACTCAAACTCTCATGAAACAAAATCACGGTAAGTTAAAATGTTAGTGTGTGTGCTATCGTAACGTATTAATATAAAAATAAATGTTACTCTTTAGTTGAAACTGCTACATGTTGTCAATGCATTTTATAACACAGCCCCTTGGGGCCCTTCATATAATCAAAATGAACTGTGTATATTGTGTATTTCAGATGATGGAGATTCATCATTCCTGTGACACTTTGCCTTTGTCACTTGCAATTATTATGTGTGTAGTTTATGAAATATCAGATCTGGGGTTTAGACGAGTTCCTAAATTACAGATTTAAAAACTTTAAATATTGGCATGTCTTATGACCATGGGTAAGTCACTTAATTCCCTTAGGCCTTAAAATTGTCTAGCTAAGAAATGGGGAGCAAAATACTTAAAACGGTTCTTATGAGGAAAGATACGATGTATGAGAAAACTTTGTATAAGGTATTTCTTACTGTAATAGTGAAGGTATTTCTTTCTAATATTTAAATCTATTAGCTTTGGTGTTAAATGCTAAGCTGAGTAAACTCTCTCTTATGTTTTCAGTACCTACTGAAGCATGTATTACCAGCAATGCTGTGTTGGTAAATGTTCAACAATTGACCCTTAGGTGAAAAAACAAGCAACCCTAGCTTTTGCTTGTTCCCGTCATGTCCACACTCTGCATTGCCGTTTTTCAAGGCACCAGCTTGAATGCAGATGCTCACCACTGGTTCTCATTAGCCTGTGGGAGCTGGCCCAGTGCACGTGGAACTAGATACAGCCCGGTTTTAGGTGTGTAGTATACAGCAGCGGTTCTCAACCTGTGGGTCGAGACCCCTTTGGGGGTTGAAAGACCCTTTCACAGGGGTCACCTAAGACCATCGGAAAACACATTACCGAGGTTGGGGGTCCCCATAACATGAGGAACTGTATTAAAGGGTCTGGGCGTTAGGAAGGTTGAGAACCACTGGTTTACAGGGTTGAAGCCCTGGTGGCTTAGTGGGTTACATGTTGAACTGCTAGCCACAGGTCAGTTGTTTGAAACCATCAGGTGCTCCTTGGGAGAAAGATGAGGCTTTCCACGTCTGTAAAGAGTTGCTTTAATGTCTCGGGAGCCCTCAGGGGCATTTGTACGCTGTTGTTTTATGGTGTCGCGGGATTCGGAATCATCGACTCGATGGCAGCACGTTTGGTTTTGGAGTTTGAGGCAAAGAGGAGTCATAATAAATCACGGAAGCTTTAGATTTTAAAGATATTTAAGAATAAACATATTTTTTAAAAGAAAAGAATATTTTGTTAACTGTCAATGAAATCCAGGAATCTGAAGCCAGCCCTGCATTCTAATTCTAACTCTGTTCTCACAAGACATGAGGTAAGTCAGAGTATAAACTTCAGAGGGGGGTACTAACGGTCAATGAAGTAATTCCCGTCTGGGGTCAGGTGCAGACCACCGGTTAAACAGAAGGGAGGAAAGGAGCTCCCTTTTGAGGCTAGCAGCCGTTGTTGCCAATCTTACACGGCTCTGATAGCACGTCGAGCTGACTTTTGTATTTGTTTTGTATTTTAGCTGACATGGGTTTTGCCAGATTATTCAATTCGCCTCTGAAGCCGCTAGCAGATTTGGATCCAGTAGTGGTGACATTTTGGTATCGGGCTCCAGAACTTTTGCTAGGTGCCAGGCACTATACAAAAGCCATTGGTGAGTAAGTCCAAAATGATTTATTATCTTGGCATTGTACTATAATAAGTACCAGATGATATAATAATAAAGTTACGTGGTTAAAAAAAAGACTTTATGGCTCTTTGGAAAAGTCCTATTTTCTCCTGCATTTCTAGAGTTTACATTCTGGAAGCTTTGGACTTTGAACTCTCTTGGAGAATGTGGTTCTTGTAAGAGAAGAAAGCCACTTCTTTTCGATAATAGAAGTGTCTGATCCTCTTGGATTAACTATGGAAACAGTAACATGCAAATGTTATTCTGTGTTCATCTAGCTGTTGGTGAAAGAGCTGGGGAAAGAGAATTAGACTTGTTTTCTTTACAAACTGACAAAGGAGTCTAGTGCAGTGTGTTGGAGAGTCAGTCCCTGCTGTGTGGGGAAAGCCATTCAGCCACATCCTTTCCTAAACAAGCAACACCATGGCTGCTCTTCCTCTCTCGCCGTGGCATTTGTCAGGACTGCTCTTTCTCCCCATTAAGGTGTGAAACAGATGCAGTCTGGTATTGTGGCAGTGCTCAGGATTTCTATCTAACTCAATTTTTAAAACTGAGAAAACCTGTTCTAACCACACTCTCAGTAGGGGCTGTCGGGTAAGTGCTGACTGCTAGCTGCAAGTCGGTTTGTAGCCCCCCCGTCACTCCTAGGGAGAAAGATAAGGCTGTCTGCTTGCGTAGAGCCATACAACCCTGGAAACCATGTAAAGAGACACTCTTTGAGCCTTCCTCAAGCCCAGATAGATAGATATATTTTTCCCCCAGATATTTTTTAACCCTTTAACAACCCAATCATTTTTCACTTTGAATGCTTTGTTGAGACCATGTTGTTAATGAAAGGTATGCTGAATCAAGAAGCATTTCTGAAATTTTGATGTGGAATATTGATTTGGATGCATATTGTGTGGGATACATAGTCTCCCTGAATGCTGCATAATCTTCTATTGACATCATCTGACATCACCTGATCCACTGACAGGTACCTACAATTTAGAGCACCCGAAAATCCCATATTCATGGGAACATGGAACAATTGGGAGAAAGGCAATTTCAGACAACACACAGTCAACTGAAAATATATAAGATTTTTCTGCCAGTTAAAAAGGCCAAAAGAGGTGGAACATTGCTGACCTTCTGCTATGATTCCAGCCCTGAGCCGGACGGCCCAGTGCCCCATGGTCTCATCTCGGGACCTCAAGTCTTGC